ATAGAGTGAGGGATTATATTGATGGTTGCCCCACAATCGACCAGTATTTTATTCACAGTAGTTTCTTCGAGTTTAGCCCTTATGAATAAAGGCTTGAGGTGATTTTTCATCGCTTCTGTAGGTGGCTCGAAGAAGCCATTTTGTTCCTCAGTAGTACCATTGTCCATGACAAAATAGCACACTGGCCTATGTTTGGCCATTTCTTGCTCCACTTCCCAGTCACTTGCTTCGACTTCTACCTGTCGATTGAATTCTCTGGGCAGCACTGAAACGATATTCACCATTATGTCCAAAGTATCGTCAGACTCAGCATCGTCTTCGTCTTCGACTTCACTTTGGTTAGGCCAAACTAGCCTGTTGGTAACTGGCTCTCTCTCTAGAGGCTTCCTTTGTTTCCTTTGAGGAACATTCGAACTAGTTTCTGCCTTAGGTTCGTTGGCAGCCTCCCTTTCAGCTTTTCGTCTCCTTTGATATCTCCTCCATTGAGATCGAGACATAGGATTTTTACCTTTGTAGTTGCTGGACACTTGTGTAACCTTAGGTGCAGCAACTTGAGGCTCTTTCTTTTGAGTCAAAGAGGAACCTCTTGGCACATCGAAAGAATGCCATTTCTCCTCGCTTGGCCTTTTCCGGCCAGAGGTTTTGTACCAAGTGTCTACTGGCACATTTGTTGGAGGCCTAAAAGTCAATGGCCTCTTTTCTTGGTTATACCCTCTTCTGGGATCATGTCGAAGGTCAGCATTCTCCCTTCTCTTATTCGCTGCTCTTACGCCTTGAATGTGCTCAGCAGCTTTTTTATCAAAGATCGAACTGCATCTTGGACACAACATCACCTCTGATTTCTTTTTCTGGCATCTTTGTAAAAAATCTGCCAAGTTTTCGTTTTCCCGAGGGAAAGCAGTCTTATTTGCCTGTTCTTGCCTCATGGCCTCTTCTGATGCTTTTGGGTCAGAAAGTTCAACCATGTTCATATTCATTGTATCTTTGTTAGCAAGAGTTAACTGCTTCATTTGTATCTCCAGATTCCCCGTCTGGCCTTGAACAGTGGCCAAGTGGGAACTGGGTTTTGATCCAGTTTTTTGTGTTTCAGCGGTCTCCGACACCGGGTTCTCGACCGCTTTCTGGACAGCTTCAATTGTCTTCCTGGATAAATTTCCAGAAAAACTGCCAAAGATTGGCATGTTGATGTGGTCCTTTGAGACTTCGACCATGGTAATTCCTGGCTTCTTCGACTGGACCCTGGTTGCCTCTATCACATTCACCTCAGAGGGTTCAGCATAGTGGGCTTCAGCCTGCAATGGATTTGAGTCGACAGCCATGGGGGATTTGTCAGCAAACTTTAATCTCCCTTCTTCGATAGCGTCTTGCACAAGATTCCTGAAAAGAAAACATTGAGAAGTTTTATGGCCCAAAAAATTATGATATTTGCAAAAACCTCTCTTCTTTCTTTGATCGAGAGGAGGCAATTTTACCCCTGGGGGTACTATCATTTGGCCATCTTTAACCAATAAATCGAATATTTCATCACATTTTGTGATGTCAAAACTATAGGTCTTTTTTGGGAACCTATCGTTGGTCCTTTCTGGACCAATGGGATTTTTCCCACTTGAGGGGACCAACTGTTTACAAGAGTATGGTGGCCCTTGTTTCAGTTCTGCTAAATCGACTTCTCCTTCTTCAACAGTTAAAGTATCGTCGAAGGATTCTAGATCTTCATCATCCATCTCAACGTACGCTATTCTCTCTCTCTTGTGAGTTTTCGTTGCCTTAGCTTTTTCAGCTTTGAGGCGTTCTACCTGTCGAACTCTATCGGCCAGTTGGGCCATGTCTCTTAGGTACTGGGTGTCTAGCTTCTTCCTAATGGAATAATCTAAACCGCATGCGGCTATTTCGACCAACTCATGTTCTGGCACTTGTGTAAAACATCTCGCCTTGAGCAACCTAAACCTATTCAGATATTCGTCTATAGGTTCAGTGAAACGTCTCTTCACGCTGACCAGTTCTTTCAGGCTTATCTTGGTTTGCCCCATGTAGAATTGTTCATGGAACAATCTCTCCAACTGGGTCCAATGATGGATCGAATTGGGGGGAAGAGTTGTAAACCAAGTAAAAGCGTTCTTTGTTAAAGAACTTGGGAAGTACTTGATCCTTAGGTTTTCGTTATTCGAGATGTCACCCGCTTCGATCAAATATCCCGCCACATGCTCGACAGTAGATTCTGTCGTGTCCCCAGAGAACTTAGTAAATTTGGGGACTTTGCATCTAGGAGGTAAGTCCGTTTGTAACACGTATTCTGACAATGGAGACGTAAAGTTGGGCCTTCGAAAGCCCATGTTCATCCCATTCTGAGTCATGATCCTTTCAATCATGGTTGCCAGATTGTTTTCCAAACCCATGTTTTGGTATTGGATATGCTGAACCACTTCGTCAGCATTTTGGTTTCTGTTAACTAACCTTACCTCTGGGGTTATTACCCTAGGTTCCTCGACAGGTTGTTCCAATCGTGCCCTAAGGTTTTCTTCGACAGGCTGTTGAGCCTGGTTAATGGTGGTTTCTTCCTCTAAAAATATCCCCTGATTTCCCCTTATTTGCGCCCTTTGGGACTGTCGAATAGGTTGGGGTACTCCAAAGAAGTCAGCCAAACGCGTCATTTGCGCTGTCACTTGCTGATTCGATTGAGTAGTGTTTTGTATTAGAGGGTTTAGCACTGTACTCAAAGTTTGTGCCAACATTTGCACCATATCATGGTTGCTTTCGTCCATTTGTTGCCTCAAGACTGCTGTCGAGGCATTTGTAAGGCCATGGGCTACTTGGGACGTTCCTCCTAAGAGTTGGGTCCTATTTCTATTCGCCATGCCTACTCCAGAGCCTTGGAGTGGCGATGAGGCACTCACAAAAGGGTCTGAAAAAGTGGACGCAGCATTCGTCAGGCTTGCCACTTTAGAAGTTGGCATACCATAGAATGGAATAAATCCTGGGGGAACCAAAGGCCTTGTGCCTAAATTTTCCCTTGGTGGGGGAGTTCCCAAAGGTATCCTGGGGCCTGTTAACGAAGGTATTGGCCCCGTGGTTGTGACCGATCCTGCTGGTGTCGAACCAACATTTGTCGCTTCACTTACGGTCATACTAACCGTTGCTCCCACACTCGTTTGTGGGATTTCGTTATTGTTTGGCGGATTCGCCATCTCTTCCCTTCTTCTAGCAGTATTGTTATCGTTAGTGTATATTCTACCACTTCTCAATAACATACAACTCGAAAAGATGAGATTATTTTCAACAATCAACACATAGTCCCACCGGGTGTGCCAATTTGTTTACCTTGGGTTTTGGTAAACAACCGCTGATCCTCCAAATGGTTACTTATTTGGTTACTCGCAGGATCGATCAGATTGATCTTAGGACATAGGTTGATTTTGAAGTTTGACTGAATTGGATAAGGCTTTAAATAAAGAGGTTTTAAATAAATTGCATGAAGGAAAGACTTGGTAAAATAAACAAGGCTTTAAAGTAAAAGGTTCGACAAGAATATAAAGGAGAAAGCAAGTAAATTTCTGGAAAAGTAAATGACTTTAATTGATAAAATTGGTGTTTCACACATACATTTCTCAACAATTCTTTCTCACACGCTGGGTACTCGAATCTATATGAGTGACTTTGTATAGAATTGTGAACACACGCGAGAAACTACATGACTACTATTATTTATACTAAAACATCCCAAGTAACCGTCGGGCAGTTACACTGCTTCGAGATCAATCCACTTGGCACGTTCTCCATGCTCGACGCTCCAGATCCTTGCACGTTTGCACATGGTAACTGTTGGAAACCGTTTTCCCTCCAAACGTTTGAATTTCAAACTGCTCTACTCTGAACCATCGAACACTTTCGTCGTGAGACATCTTCGACGAGAAACTCCTTCGACGTCGAAGGCAACCAACCTTCTTCCTTGGAAGAAATCTTCTAAGTACTTTGCCATCTTTCGACGGGCATTTCGACAGACTTAGCCAGTCGAAGACATCCTTCAGCTTTGATGGCTGACATCACCAAAACAAAAGTGTCGAATTTAGGAGCCAACACTAACCTACTGTCAGTCATTGTCAATTGAAAAGAATACAAGAATTATTTTTTCACTTGATATAAACACAAAATGCTTAAAATAAAAATAAAAATAAAAATAAACAACACATTATACAATAGAAGAATATACTAATCAATAGAAAAAAACAAAATCAATAAGATGATAATAATTTAAGAAAAAACGAATAAAAATTATTGACGATGCGGTTGTCCTAAGCAATGCCATAGAAAAAAAATTTATTAAAAAATTATACTGGAAATCAAAATTTAAAACTTTTGAACCTCAGATCCAAAAATGTAATGAAAAAAACGTAACTTTAATCTTCTTTCAACTATACACTTTTAATAAGTATTCATGCTGCAATAGTCACGATACTCATTGCAAGAGCAGTAATGACCACAACCGCAATCACAGCATCTCTGACCCAGCCAATCATATTTGGAATAAATGAAGGCTATGTGAGGGAACGATATGTAGTTCGGATAAAAGATGGAAAACTTAATTGGCAAGTTTGCTTAGTCATTTGAAAGAAACTACAAAGAATCTTATATTTTAATTATAAATTGCTATGCTATATAGGAATTTTTGTAGTAATCCTAATAATGTATATTGAAGGTCAATGAAATTACTATTGATTTTGATTATTGGTTTTAAGAATGAAAGAATAGTCACACAAATTAACTGAGCGATGCTTTTTTACATGGTGACAACTTGGAAATTATTCTGATGTGGAGAAATGGGGAATATATATGATAGCTAATGTGGCAAATCAGTAGTTCGTGTCTCGGAATTAATAATTATAAATAGATAGATAGATAAATAGATTACCATATCTTATAATTTTCATAAGAACCACACATAGTTCAAATAAGACATTTTTATGAGACAGAGCTAGTATTAAGTGTTGTCATTTATTTACCAGATGTCTTGTTTTTACCTATATCTGGGCTGATCGGTACAAACCTAAAAACAAGAATGGGTAAAAGCATTTGTCCATGGTGGGATGGTCCTTGCCTATTTGAAGCTCTTGACGCCATTGAAGTTCCTCTAGGAGATCCTAACGATCCTTTCAGGTACGGTGTGTTTGAACTTTTTACTGTGTTGCTTCCTTATCCCTCCTCAAGGTCCATATGTGTGTATGTAAACACACACATACACACATGCATATGTATTTGTGTGTATTTTTTAAGAAATTAACTTTGATAAGGTTGGATTTCTGGTTCTCATAGGATGCCTGTACTCGACAAATTCAAAGACATGGAAACTGTTGTTATGGGCAAAGTGGAATCTGGTAGTATTCGTGAGGGAGATTCCTTGTTGATTATGCCAAATAAGGTGATTTATATTATCTTTTATTTTATTGATCTTTTTCGGAACAATTATCGTTCTTTCTTTTCTACTGCTTTTTTACCCCACTTATGAATGTGATTGCATATTAATCTCCAGGATCAAGTGAAAGTTGTTGCTATATTTATTGATGAGAATCGAGTTAAACGTGCTGGACCCGGTGAAAATTTACGGGTTAGAGTATCTAGTGTTGAAGAAGAGAACATATCATTGGGATTTGTCCTGTCTAGTACTGGTAAGCTTTTGCTGTACTAAGAAAGATGTGTTGCAGCATATTTTTTGTGAAATATTTGAAAAGGTTTTATTGAATAAAAGATGCTCAATACCTATACACAGTATGTGAAAACTAGCGGTGTCTCCTGGTTCATTTATTACTTCTGCATGCAGTATTAAGGTAAGTTTCAGAGTAGTGTGCCATGCAATGAGATGTTCCATACCTCTACTATTGTATCATGTTGTTTCAGTTTTACTTTTAAGCAAGTAATCCTTTTTTCATTTTTGGTAATTGGGTTGGTAGCCTAGGCTTAAATTCTGGCAGGTTCGAAAGGTTGATTCAGAGGTAAGGTATTTGATCAGAAGGGTGTTTACCGTGGTTATTGGTAAACAACCGCTGATCCTCCAAATGGTTACTTATTTGGTTACTCGCAGGATCGATCAGATTGATCCTAGGACATAGGTTGATTTTGAGGTTTTGATTAAATTGGATATTGGTTAAATGGCAATAAAATAAAGAGGCTTTAAGTAAATTGCATGAAGAAGTAGGCTTGGTAAAATAAATGAAGGCTTAATAGTAAAGGATTTCGACAGGAAAGTAAAGAAGAAAGCATGTAAAGTTTCTGGAAAAGTAAATGACTTTGATTAATAAAGTTGGTGTTTCACACATACATTTCTCAACAATTCTTTCTCACACGCTGGGTACTCGAATCTATATGAGTGACTTTGTATATAATTGTGAACACACGCGAGAAACTACGTGAACTACTACTATTTATATTAAAACATCCCAAGTAACCGTCGGGCAGTTACACTGCTTCGAGATTATCCCACTTGGCACGTTCTCAACGTTCGACGCTCCAGATCTTCGCACGTTGCACTTGGTAACTGCTGGAAACCGTTTTCCCTCCAAATGCTTGAATTTCAAACCGCTCCATTCTGAACCATCGGACACCTTCGTCGAGAAGCATCTTCGACGAGAAACACCTTCGACGTCGAAGGCAACCAACTTCTCCCTTGGAAGAAATCTTTTAAGTACATTGCCATCTTTCGATGGGCATTTCGACGGACCTAGCTGGTCGAAAACATCCCTCAGCCTTAATGGCTGACATTAATGAAACAAGGGTGTCGAATTTAGGAGCCAACAAATTGCCCCCCAAGAATGCCTTATTTCGACTCTGAAAGAAAAAGGCATTCTTTGAAACGCTATTCGACACCTGTCTTTTCATTCTTAGTCACAAATTAAATTGTGCACTTTTTGTTGTCTTCTACCAACCACTGACAATCCCAAGAAAAACCATCATTTATCCGTACCTAAGACGTCACCTCAGTACGGCGTGCAGTGTGCCAAACGTCACTTCACAAATTGTCATCATGACAATTCCCAAAAACGAGGGCGCACGCTGCACCCTTCCATTTCTGCAGAACGGCTAAAACCACAGGGAGACGCCACGTGTCCCACTACCTTCTGCAACATTAAATGGCATTTAATGTCCTCGAATTTGGGGATTTCCCCCACTACTATAAATAGCAGTAATCACCCATTGTGGGACTTTTTACGCAACTTTGCTTTCAGAATTCCTCATTTGCATTCAAACTTGTCAACTTTGCAAACCTCTTTTCCTTCACTTCGTCTTCAACCTCACTACCAACAATGGCATCTGGTTCTTCCAATGCTCCTAGCGCCAACGTACCATCTGGAAACGTCAAACCTAGGGTTTTCTCGACCGCTCCAGTAGTGACTCCCACGGGCCAACGAAGGGTCCCTGAACCTTTGGACATCGCTGTACGTGATGCTTACTCACGCCACCTTATGATCCCGATTGGATATTCCAACCAGATCTTTGCTATGTCTGGCCCATTGTACCCAAGCATTGCTGAGGCCATGAAGATCAAAAGTTATTTTCCGGTAGTTGAGAGACTCAAACCGGTTGCATGCTCCAAGAAAGATGCAGAGGATAATGAAGACCCTGCTAAAGAGAAAATCGACCTCCGTTTCTTCAACAAAGGTGTTAGGGCTTTCAGGTCTGGCCCTAGCCTTACTCCTGATTATAGTGCTTGGCTGGAAAAAATGGAAAAACGCCAGGCTTCGATCTGGAAAGATATGGGGATTTTCGACCTGGTTATGCTGTCGAAGACAGGTCTTAACTATTCCCCAGAGATGTTGATAGCTTCTCTACTCTTCTGGGACTACACCCATTTCACCTTCCATCTTCCCTGTGGAATGCTGACTCCCACACTCTTCGATGTGGCCGCCATCACTGGCCTTCGACCCACCGGGGACTATTTCGACCCGGAAGAAATGTCGGAGGATCAAATTGGATTCTCTGCCACAAAACCAACCTACACCACCTTCATCAATCACTGCCACGACAGGTCGACAGATGCTGTGTCGGATGTCGAACACATTGCGTTTCTAGCCTTATGGCTGACACGCTTCGTGTTTTGTTCCAAGTCCTTACAGGTGACCAAGAAGATGGTCACTCTCGCCACTCAACTCCATCATGGCCAAAATATCTGTTTGGCAGAATTGATTTTGGCTAGCCTGTATGAGTCGATTAGTAATGGAGCGACTCTTCTGAAGATTATCGAGAACAGGGCCAGTCTGCTGCTTGCTAGGCCTTTTTGGCTGCTTCAACTGTGGCTCAATGCCACCTTCGAATCTTTCTTGCCTAAGAAGATTCAAATAAATGAACAGGCTCCAGAAATAGCAAACAGACGCGTCGAAGGCACTAGATTGGCTCTGTTGACTCCAATGGAAGATGGGCTGGAGCTTCAACAAACTTTTACAAACTTCGTTTTGATGTTTGCTAAAAGGAAAGAGTTTGTTTCGACTATGGCTCCGTTTGCTCGACGGAAGGTTGGCCCAGAGTGGTTCACAAGGCCACATCCTAGGACGTCGAGTGCTCCTCAGGTTGACGAACATACAACAATGTGGGAGGCGTTCCTCACACCAAGAATCATGCCTCTTCGATTCAGGAGCTCTAAGACTCACTTGAGTCTGATTGCATATCAACCAAACCTGGTGTCTCGCCAGTTTGGTATTATTCAAACACTACCTTCTCCAATTTTTCCAAGGGAGAAGTCTATGTTATACTTCTGCAACGACTACACCGAAGAAGCTGCCACTAAACATATCGGAAGATATGCTGGTCGAACAGTTCTTTCGTTGTTTGACTACCAGCTTAACTTTCTTTGCTCACCATCCTTCGAGGAGTGGTGGAAAAGTTACTACGCTGAGGAGTTTTTCGACGAGAAGGACTTCGTGGATGAGCTTCAGAAATCTTTTGTCCTTGTCTTGGACAAAATAAAGAAATGTAAGTTCATCCTTTCAAATTACTTTGTCTTTCTCTTTCGACTGCTAGCCTGTTAACTATTTTATTTGCTTTCAGTTGTTCGAAAGCCTGCAGCCAAGAAGGCTGCAGAAGGCCAACAGGGAGGAGGCCCCTTAACAAAACCTCCACCGCCGGCGAAGACTATAGCGCCGGCGAAGACCACAACAAACCAACAGGGGGAAGGCCCTTCGAAAAAGGCTTCTGCACCGGTAACCAGACTTTCATTATTTTCTTCCGGCTTTAATTTTTTAACTTTCGATGCAACTGCTAAATCGAATTCCCATTGGTTTTTTAGGCACCTTCGCCCAAGAAACGGCCAGCACTGATGGTCGAATCCGGGAGCGACGAAGAAGATGATTCTCCCCCTGCTCCTCTAAAAAGGCGAAAGCTGAAGAAGGACGTTCCTGCTCCTGAGGGTCGAACAATTAGAATAAAGGTTGCTGGGAGAAAGCCCAGGCCACCTCCAGTGATCATTGAGGAGCCAACGGAGGAGGAATTAAACGTTCTTCTCAATAAGCCTGTCGAAAGCGACAATTCCAGCCTTGGGGCTGAAGCTAATTTACAGGTAATCTCTTAGATCTCTTTGTAACTCAGGTGTAGATACCTACATTCGACTATGTCTCTTTCGAATTTAGAAGATTCTTCTTCTTCTCTTTTCAGGACACCACTGAAAGCTCACCGCCGAGGACTTCATAAAAAAGCCAAAATGGAAAATTTTTATAATTTAGCCAAGATGGCAATGTTGTCGAATACATATTACAAAATATGGTTAAAAAGCTGAATCAATCAGAAGGGAATGGAGTCCTTGAGTCGAAGGTATTTGATTTGCTGCAGCTCCAATCTTTTGTTGCACCAGGCATTCGCCTGCACAAGCTTGGCAATCTGATCGTCGAAGCCTTGAGCCTTCTCAGCAAATTCTAGGCCTTGTGTGATTTTAGTTTGACTTTCGGTGTCTGGGACGGTCGAGAGAAGTTCCTCCTTGCGCTTAGTATTGGCATTTATCTTAGCCTCTATTTCTTCGATTTGCGCCCTGAAGGAAGCATTCTCTCGATCGATGGCATCCACTTCTTCTTGTTTAGATGCTTTTTGCTTCGACAACTCCGCAATTCGAGAAGTTGTCTCTGCTACAGCAGTCCATGCAGAAGAGCTTTTGCCATATAACACTTCAAGCTGGCTATTAAAGCCCCTTTGTCGCCGATAATCTGCTGAGACCTGATCAATAATGGAGTGTAACTCCATGATAAAGCCTGAGACTTCTGGAGGCACAGCTAACAAGTCTACGACATTCAAAACAGCCCCCAAATATGATGGGGCAGTAGGGTCCCCCTCCAAAGCTTTCATCAAGTCCTTCTTGAAAAACTGAGCCTTAACCTTCGTCAAAGCCTCATCGAGAGGAGAAGTTTCAGTGGACTTCCCCGACAGGGTAGGAACCTCCTGGCTAGCGTCAGACGAACTCTTGCTCTCGATGATGGCGTTCAGATAGCTAACAGGATCAGTTTGCTTCAAGAGTTCTAAGTCCTCTTTCGACCTGTGCTTTGTTGAGGTAACAGCCCTTGCAACAGCATTGTCTTGGGTTTGAGGCTGTTGAGTGACATTTGCCTCGACTTGATTCCCTTCGACTCGGACTGCGGCAGTACCAGCGTCATCATGGTGTCTTTCGCCAGCGTCACCTTGGTTCCCTTCGCCAGAGTCACCGTGGTTCTCTTC